AAGTGATTTTGCTTGGAGAGTTTTAGCTGTGATTAAGAGTGAGAAGTGATAACTTCCTTTAGAGTAAAAGTTAAATGAAAATATATAAAATTCAGATTTTTAGGTTAAGTTCTTCCTGATATTAGAAAAATATCAGTATGAAACACTCATTTCAATATAGTATCCCTCTATTTTACATTTTTTTTCTTCCAAGTTTTCTTTTTCTTTATAAAATACAGCCTTCATATTCTGTGAAAGCTAAATACTAAAGAAGAGGAAAAAACAGATTTTTTTAATATCTATCTATACCTATCTCTTCTTTGGTGACCCTGTAGCATTATTAGATGCAAATTTGCAGGGATAAAAATCTCAAGATCTGCTTAGATTGGGATATGTTTTCCACTGCCTCTTGTATAGTATCAATCTTTATCATGGTATCAGCATTTAACATCCTATATAGAAGAGGGTAATCATGCTTAGTTAGCAATGGCAATTATTTATACTTCCTTGTCTTTGTACTGTGTCAAAATCAAGGCAAACTTTCTATAAGGTTGGTTCGACGTATTTACCCAATAAAATTAAGAGAAAAGGGCCATGTAAAATTTTCCCATCCTTGTTTGAATTTTGAAAGCCTCTTCCTGCCAAGGCAAAACACTCTGTCAACTCCATTTGGCATCAAAGTTTTCTGTCTCCTGTATACATGTGGTTGACAGAATTTTCCTCTGTATTATCTTATGAAACAAGAGGGATTTCCTCATTGTTTCAGGAAGACATTCCTAATGGTCATGCTTTATCACTGGCTTGGATTTCCTTGGATTAATTAAAACCACTTACATTTTTCTGAAAACACCACTGTCCTTGCCTACCAAGATAAAGCAATACTCTGCAGGTCTGGAAACAAACTCTCCCTTTCCTGACTGCATGTGAGAGGGTGTGTAATAAGCAGCCAGGTAATAAATAAACAATTTCTTCCTGCCAGGTGAGAGCTGGGTGCCAAGAGAGTTAAAGCTCTGCTGAAGAGAAAATACACCTTGGAAGTAACGAATTTCAGGATATTTTGATCAAAAAGTTGCCAACATAACATAATGCAGCAAGTCAATGAAGGATAACACTGCAAGTAAGAACTACTGAATTCATAGGTGAGGAAGGTAATCAGTAATACTAGGGCTGCAAATGACGGATAAAATGATTAAGCTGTTAGTTTCACTCACAGATAACCACTGTATAAAGTATCAGTGTTCACTTTGTTTACTAGTGTTTCAAGAATTTAGTTCTTAATGGAGTTGTCTGAGCATCTGCAGATGGGAACCTCAGCATGAACTGGAGTTTGCTATAACATAACCTTACCATTTAGTCCTCTTTTTCTTAACTTATAATTAATATACCGTAGCCATACAGTTTCTGTTGTTCTGTGATTAACTTAAATTTAACTCCTGTTTGAATTAGCTAGTGTTTGTTTCTTTCTTATTTGGGTTTGGTGATAACAGTTTTCACATGGATGCTGTTCCACCAAATTCACTTGTCAGTTTTGACCAGTTTGTAAAATAATTGGAGACTGTTAGAGACTCAATGAAGAGAGAATCTAGTGCCTTTTTTCCCACTTATTTAACTAATATGAATTCAACTCCAGGTCAGAAGTAACTGAAAATTATTGTTAAATTATCAGTTTCCTTCAAATAATTATGCCTCCATGTAAAATAGTTAGTAATCAGATCTCAGTGCACTGAAACCGTCACCATGTTGCTATGTAAGAGGGCTTCAGCATTTAGGACCGTTGGCTTTCTGTCTTCTGTAAGTACCAGATTCACAGAATTAAAAAGGAAATAAAGTTACGAGTTCCTTGCCTGAACCTTGTTTGCCTAGGAATGGAAGTGAGATGCCAGAGAACAACCCACCACCACAGTAAAAAGGGTATTGCACTTGGAGGTAGGGGTATGGCTGCCACACTTGTTAACATCCTTAGTTTTTCAGCAGGTATTTTCAGCAAAATGGTGTATAACTATAGCCTGTACATGATTATACTTTGTTAGTAAACAGTACCTGAACAGGCTAGTCTGTTTTAATTATAGTAAGAATTGCATATTAATAATGTGTGTACCTATACACTGAAAATGTCTGATTTACATACATTGATGATATTCATTTACTTGCAGGGAACACCTGAAATGCTAGTTACATTAAAAACAAACACCCCAACCCCCCCCCACCCCCCACCCCTGAAAGTAACTGCAGCTTAACATCATCCATTTAGTCAGGCTCATAATTTTTAAAGGAGCCCTAGATGTAGAGTACTTAATGTCATTCTTTCTTCAGGTCTTGCTGCAAATATATACTCACTTTTAGTGTGTATGTAAAAGCAGAAAGTAAGGTTTATAATACACATGCTTGACCCTGTTCTCTTAACAAAATTTGCAAACTTTAGAGAATCGCTGTAAAGTACATTGTGCCAGTTGACACAGTTTTCAAGGAAGCCTGTGTGCAAACTGTTTAAGCTAAAAGGAAAGTTGTGACAGAGGGACTGATTCTACACATGTCCCTGGAGTCCCACTAAAATCAAGTCCTCCTTTTATATCCTTGGAACGTTACCTGATGCAGTGAGTCACTCTCCATCATCAGGATTGCCTGAATGCTGCAGAATGATACTCATGGACATTAATTTGAAATGTAAACAGCTGTTCACTTCACTGATGCTGGATCTATTTTAATTCACTCTACCTGAGCATTTGCATGGAGAACAATATCCTGGTGTCTAGGTGTATGACTGACAAATAGCTGATGTTCTTATATGGAGCCACATTTGTAGGTGGCCAAGGGAATTCACTGATCATTTACTATTTGTAAATTAAAGTAACTTTTTATATTTGTATATAAAATTACGTTTTATTCTGTGGGGAAAAAACTATAAATGAACAGGAGCCTCACAATGTCACATAGATGACACCATAAGCAAATTGCAGTTTGAAAATAATGCAATAGTGCAACTAATAGTTCAAATGATAATAATTTCCTGTATAAAAATATGTATATTTGTAGGTAATAAATAAGCAGCAATAAGGACTAACTTAGAAAATACTGCCCTACTTCCACATCAATGAATCATAGTTAGGAATAAAGATAAAACCTCTTCCTCTCTTTGCTTAAACAACAGAAAGACACTAGCTTAGATTTAATTATAAAAGTTCTAATGAAAAATTTAAAAATGTTGATTAACTGTCACAAGTTTCAGTCAAAAAGCAGCAG